TAAAAAACAGTATCATGGAGACTGACAGCTCTTTCCAGAAATCAGAGAACCAGGAGGAGGTTGAGGGCTAATGGGTCTCTGGATCTCCCCAAGACTAATGAGACCAGTAATCAAAAGAAGACATTGACTCTAACGGACAATTAGAACTAACTGGTATATATAGCTTCTTTTTCTGCCCTATTTTTCCCCCAGGGTCAATGGTACTGCCATTGGGAAGTTAAATACTTCAGGTCACTAGGTTTAGAAAGTTCCCAGACACAACTAAAAATCAAACTTCCTCCATAGGGAGAACAGAACGTAATAATGTAGAGTTTTCACCCATCCTGATATAAAACAAGAAATGCTTCCCTTCCTTTCAATTTTTTGTAAAAACTATAGGAGGAACTTTCAATAACCTTAATACTGTGGTGCTAGAATTTGCCTTTGCCAATCTGTCAGATCCATTAGTCTTACCACTAAATTTCACCACACGAGCCATTAGCACTTGAGACAAAACTCTACTGCTCTCAATGACTTCTGCTAAAACCAAAACAAGTTGAGTAGCCAAGAAATAAGAAGCAATATAAATTCTGGCCACATAAGCCAGGATATTCTCCTTCTCAGAGCTGCCTCCAGGGTGTGCAGAGCTCTGGGAAAAGATTTTTATTTTTTTTATTTATTTATTTTTTTTTGCTGTACATGGCCCCTGTCTATATAAATAATTTGATTTAAAAATGTTTCAAAATGTATGGACCTATGGGAGGCTTGGTGTCTTATTGATGAGGATGGATATGGAAGAGTTACTTATGTATTTATTATTATGTTATTGTCTAGGTGGTCCATTGAAAGAGTCTTTGTAGGTTCCAAGAAACTTGTCTTCCTGTTCAAATCCAAGAACCATCTCTTAAGGCATTTTATTATCCAATGCACTCTCTCTGGTTTATTTTCTATGTCCCACTGGGAGAAATCGTAGCAGTGCTGTAATTAATCACAAGGACATGGGTCTTGAGAGCCTGTTTACATTAAACAGTATAGCTCTTCGTGCCTCTTCGGTTCCCTAATAGTATGTCTATAATACTGGTCACATTATTAGCCATGACACTGCATCATCTGTCCACACTGCCTTCCAATGACTCTTTCTCAACGATTGGTAGTGTGCTTCATTGATGTCAGCCTTCCCCAAAATATGTAGGTCAATGTGAACCAATATTCCTTTTCTGGTCTTGTTAAGTTTACCATTCAGAATTTTATGGTATAAACATAGAACAAGGCATTTTCCAGTGTTGTCTTCCCTTAGACTCTTGAGGTGGTATTCATTGCATTCTCAGAATGGGAGCTTTTTTGGTATTGACTGGACCCTTGCCTTCCATACACTAACACCAGTGGGGGAGGATTGGTGAGGGGTTCACATGTGAAGAGAGAAGCACAGTCCCACTCTTGCAAGATATGTATTTCCCTCTTCAACATGTGCTTAGGACAGGGAGAGCACAATGTCACTACATCAATGGGAAGTAAAAGAGGATATTGATTGGAAGGCCCATTGGCGTTTAAGCTTGAAAGCCATCCTTGATGGACTACCTAACACATGACACAGAGCCTACAGCAATGGCAGTTATCACCCTGGACGCCAGAGGCTGGGGGAAGAGGAGGAGTACAGGGTGAAAGACGCCTGCTGCCATGCTTGCCATCCTCTGGTGCTATAGACAAGAGGTGGCACCACAGTCAAAACACAGATAGACACAAGATAGACACCACACTGGTGGTTCAAGTCTAAGGGTTGGTGGTAGACTATTGATAGCCCTGACCCCTGAAGTCATCTTGTATTCAGAGTGAGAGTCATCCCCAATCAGCAAGTTAGCACCATTCTGTGTGCTTGGTATCAAGCAGTCTTGGGTATCCCACACTGCTTCAGCCAGCAGGAGTGATCTGCTCGCCAGATTGTCCAACTCACATTGGGATCCAACAGCCAGACTCTGAGAGGACCCCCTAGCCATGAGTTCTGGAGCTCCTCAGGATATCTGGTTGACTTCATGTGTAAGGCAGTGGGTCAGAAAGCAGCTTGAGGACGACAAGTGAAGACCAGGATCCATGTGAGTCTGGGTCTGGGCCAGGGAGATCTCACTTGAAGAACATGGCCAGTCTTGGTAGTACCAGACCCTAAGAAGGACTTAGAAATTCAAGGAAAGCCCATCAGAGAGTTGGTAGCCAGGATGGAGGAAGGAGTCCAAGGTAGTGGGGAGAGACTATAGAGTCAAAGCACAAATAATTATGGACAGTATAAAGCAGGATGTGTAAGGGGCCCAGTCCAAGGCTCTGTTGGTGAGAGTAGAAATGAAAGGGTCAAAATGATGAAATAAAATCAAATCTTTCTGGATTGGAAAGTAAAGCCTCATCAGTCTAGGAGTTAAAAGATTAATGTTTGACCTCAGGCTTAGGTGAGTCATTAAAAATTTCCACTTGAAAGTGACAGTTATAGTTGATAAGCTCTAAACTCTCACTCAGTTTAACTGTTCTTAGTCTACGCTTTTCTTGAATGGTTCATCATAATACATAAAGGAGTTGAACCTCAGGGAACATTTGCCATAAATTAGATTTAAAACTCCTCTCCCTCCAAACCATTCGGAATTTGAGGATTAGAATCCCATTTTAGTATAGACCTCTTTGCCACTTCTATAGAATAGGGAACGTTGTCCACACTGGACTGTTAACATCCATTAACTAGTGTCATTTATCTGTAGAGATGTGCAGTGGTTGGGAAGGCACCCTGAAGAATCCACAGACAGATGTGAACAATATTGATAGAGAGCTTAATCTCCTTGGGAAAAAAAATGGAAGAAGCTCAAGGTTGATAAATGGCAAGGGAATGAAAGGAACTTTCCACTTCATAAGACCTGGAAGCGTTTTTAAAACATGATCAGTCATTACACTGAGTTCTGTTACAGCATGAAGTCTGTGTATGCTTACTTCTTCATCAATATCATGGTTGAGGACAGTGGGTCCCTTGATGAAATCTGAAATTTCTTGGGTAAAAGTATATCCTTAGGTCTGCATGGGGCTAGGCGCCACTTCTATCTCAAGGCCCAACATTAAACTTATGTAAAGTTAATTTTCTATTATAAACCATAGGGGTCAAAACAAAACAAATTAGGAAATTCTAATTTTCTGGAAAATTGTAAGTTTCTGGAACATGTACAATGGTCTGAGAGGTAAGATTTAATGGTAGTCTAGCTGCTGAAACAGGAAGTTGTTGAGAGCTATGCCTAATGTATTACGTTTTTAATTGTGAAAAACTACATCTATTTTTTAAAACTGCATTATTAAATCCTATTATTGAGGATTCTACCATGGAATAACTCAACCCCATTGACTTCAGGGCTAATGTTACCTACTTTACATGTTCTCAATTAACTGATCTTTAAAGGTAAGTTATTTGAGTAATTTATTCAAGATCTAAAACTCCTCATACAATGTCTGACTCCTCCAGAAGCCATCAATCACATGAATAGCAGTGGCCAGATGCTAAAAGCCTGGTTGGAAAAGCATTTTCCCCTTTCTCTGCTCTCGCTGCACTGTGGTTTCCTTGGGTTTTCCCTTTTACCAAACAGACTATGGGTTCACGAGGGAGGAAGAAGAGGGACACTCAGCCTCAAGGCTGCTGAACTCTAGCTCCTCAGAGTAGACTGGTCATTCACCAAATGGTAGCACAATCTGGCTTGGAGATTGACACTCAACCCTGTTTCTATACTCTCAAGTTGACCATCTTGAATACAATTTCTCAAATGACTGCTAGCATTAGGAGTTCATAAGACCACAACTATAAGGAAATAAAGTAGATGCAGAGCCTAATTTCGCCCTGCTTAGGAGTTTAGTTTTATTAGATTGAATGAGACGAAGTAGGTGTTGTTGTAGGTCAAGAGCAATGGCATATGGGCAATTTCACATGATTCAAGCTATACTCTGAAATCTTTCAACTCTGGATTCTCTGTCTTTTTTGCCTGACTTTCTATCTTGAAGCCAACTGAGTCCCTGCTAAGTTCTCTAGCTTACCTGACATCCATTTCATAAATACTATGGACACCTTCTTTAAACCAGGGACTGAGCAAATGACTGTTGATATAAGGGCAGAAGGAAGTCTGTCCTTGGCTTTTTTGGAGCTCACTGTCTAATGAGAAAGGGAAACTCTAAAAATATATGATCTGTTTGGTGATAGAAGTATATCTGAAGTGTTATGGAGAATCAAGGACCATCATACTTGCAGGTGAGTATTGACATTTGGGTTGTATGGTCAGTCATGATGCCAAATGTTAAGGCTGGGGGCAGAGAAGGAGACGGAATGTTCTCAGAAAGGGCCTATAACTTGATAGGGCTCAATGATAGAATACAGGGAGGTAACAGGAGATTGGTGTCAGATCTTAAACAAGCATGGCCATTTTCTTCCTTTATCAGGTGGGTGAGACACAAAAATTTTTCTAATTGGGGAGGTAACATTTTATGAAATATAACTTTGCAAACTTTAGAAAAGCTTATTTTTTCTATGACTGAGGAGACTAGAAAGGAAGAATCTAGCAAGATGAATAGGATATATAGGCTTTAAAAATTATCTTTCTTATTTTTCTACCAACAAAAGAACCATAGATTCACTTAAGCAACTCCAACATTATGAAAATATATAACATTGAAACCAAAAGTTTTCTGTAATACAATGGCCCAGACCTAAACCACTGTTACTATACCAAAGTACTGAACTGATATAGATACACTTAAATTTCAATATATAAACCACCATATTAACATAATTTTCTGCATACCAGTAAATATAGAACTACTTCATTTTTTAATGGTTGTGTAATATTTTATCACATTAATGAACTAAAATTTATTGAATTAATTTTTATTCTATGGAAACATCAGCTGTTTTCAATTTTTCATTATTATAAATAATCCTGGGATGAACATCTTTTTACATAAGACTTTGCAAACTTGTATTTCTGTAGGATACATTCTTAGAAATCCTTCCAGGAACTGACATAAAAAATAATCATTTTTTTCATTTAAATGATATTGCCAAATAACCATCATAAAGCCTGTATCAACTTCTATCCCCATGGTGTATGCAGGCCCCATTTCCCTAGGGGAAAGGAGGATTTTTTTTTTTTTTTTATAGGCAGTCTGTTCTTATCAAAGATATTGCAGAACCTCGAGACTCTTCATTCAACTCCATGAATGTCTGTAGTTCACACATCTCTCTGGTTTCTAATAAATTAGCATTAATAGAAGCTCGAAGATTTGCCCAAAAAAGTCCACATTTACGCCTATCCTTGGGCCATTCCAGGTATGCTTTCTTTTCCATAAGAGCTTTCAGCTTAGGATACTTGGTAGGAATACAGTAGAGGGGAATGGGTTCTAGTAAGACAAAAATAATGTAATCAGAATTTTCATGGAAGAGATTGTGGTGAGCAAAGTAAAGTTCATAATGGCACCACTCACTCTGGACAAAGTTGGGAGACAAAACAAAGATAGACTTACAGCTTTTCTCAATGCAATTCATAATATTTTCAGTAATGCTCTTGCCAGGGTCAAAGTTTCCTTCATGAAGGCAAATCAATTTCTCTTCTTTCTCTAGATTGGGAATTAATTCATGCTTCACCCAGGTAGAATCATGTTCATTGTATGAAATAAATACATAGAACTGGACATTTCTCTTGAGTTGTTCTTGGGTTGTCTTCCTAATCCTCTGCAATGTCTGTGTCCACTGCCCTAGCATCCTGAGATACCAAGGCAGATCAAAGTAGAGGCAGCAGAAGGCTATAGCCGTCCCTAGAACTAGCACGATAAACACAATGGTGACAATCAACAGAGCTGTGTTGCAAGATAATTCAGGAAGATGAACGTCTTTTAACCGAGTCCCCTTTAGATTCAAAGGGTATTCACAGATGTATGAATCTGACCATCCAATCATCATACCCTCTGAATATTTTTCCAGCTGAATGAAATCTCTTAATTCACAGGTACACCGGAATGGGTTTCTTCCTGCATTCAGAGTCTTAACTTCCTGACAGCTCTGGAAAAAATCCAGAGATGGGCTGAGAATTAAGTTCATTTCAATGTTCAGAACTGAAAGTTTTCTGAAATGACTGCACCCAGGAAGATCAGTTAAAAAATTAAATGCAAGATTTAGTTCTCGCAAAGACTTCAGATGAATAATCTCTTTAGGGACTGTTTGAATTTTGTTATTATTCAGGTCAAGTATTTGAATACTTCTGGGCAAGCACCTGAAAACAGAATCAGCAAATTTGTTGGATGACAGGTTCATAGTGGTCAAGGTTTCTGGCCAAAAGCAATTTTCATCATTTTCATATTGTAACAGATTCTGGCTCAGATCTAAGTGCTTCAAGGATGTGTTGCTGGCAAAGAAACTCACTAAAGAAAGTGTCTCCAATTTATTGCCCTTCAAAATGAAAGTTGTCAAATGAGGCAATTGGATAGGTTGCTTAAACAGGTCATCCGTTAAGATATTATTAGCAAAATTTAAATATTGGAATCTTGTAGGATAATTAGGAAACTGCATGTGTGGCATTTGTGCATCTGATATAGTTAGGTTTTCTATATCCATTTTGGTAAAAAGCAAGTAGACCCTCTCCTGTGGAATATAAAAAATTCTGAACTGTATGTGCTCCAATTTTATAGCTCTCATTACACTATTTGAGTAATCAAATGAATTATGGTCAAGATAAACTTTGCCTCCAAAAGTCAGATGTTGGACTTGGAAACATTCTATTGATGTATGCCAAACAAACTGGAAGAGGAAGAGAAGGTCATCCCAGAGTAAATCAACTTTATTAAGCAGTAGAATAGATGTCTTGGAATTTGCTAACGTAAGATTTTGTTGAGTTTCATAACTTGCAAATTGGCTTTTGCCATCTATATTTGTCATCTCTAGTATTTTTGAAGTCTTGATTCCATCACGCAAAAGAACCCAGAAATCTGTGTTCATTGGTAAAACAATATGCAGTTTTGTTGTGTTTAAGGTGGGCAGGCTACCTTCTTCATAATAAGAAAGACTTCTCAATCCTAAAAAGACAGTATTTAGATGCAAATGAGCAATTTTCTGGAAATCTGATTTTTGTATTTTTGCCCCACTCAAACCTAGGATTTCCAAATGTGACATGTTGCCAGTCTCCTCACAGATAGGCACACTATCAAAGTCATTGAAAGAAAGATCTAAATGTCTGAGACCTGCCAGCGAATACCAAGTTACAATCTTCAATCTGTTGTAAGACAAATCTAAATATCTTAACTCTCTGTTGAATTCGAAGGTCTTGATATCCAGCTCTTCGATTCTGTTATGGCATAGAATCAAAACTTTCAGTTTAGAGACAGAATGAAAATCTGAACTCTGAAGTTGAGAAAGGAGGTTGTAGGATAAATCCAGTGTGGTTGTAGTTGGGGTCAAGTCTTCAGGAACCTTTCTTAGGGACATGTTGGAACAGTTGGTTGTCAATTCCCTTTCTTCTGGCAGCATTGAAGCCCAGCCCTGCACTGACATAACAATACTACAAAATACATGAATGCTTCTGATAAGTGTCATTGTAATTCCAAGGATTCTATTACTGGTTCCCTCATATGAATGATGAAGATGAGTTCAAAATCCTAGAAAGATATATAATATTAAGTGGTTATGTCATTTTTTAAATCCTATATGGTCACTTTTGATCCCCCAAATTCACTCTATCCACCAAGAGTTTGGAACAGAGTTCGAACCTGTACATTGAGTCTTTGACATGATCTGAGACTTTGGCTTATAGATTTCTAAGCCAGGTGCTCTGCCACAACCCCGTCACTGCGGCAAGTCAGAATTCACAGAAGGAAGATATATAGTAATTGGCAGAAGTGCCTTTCTCCCAGTTCAACTTGGGAATTTCATTGCCAGGCCATACTCAATACTCTCCCTTACATCTCATTTTGATAGCCTGAAGCCAACCCCACACATGGGTGGCCTCCCCAGTTAGCCACATCCTCCATCAGTATGGCACACTTGTTACAAACGATGGACCTACATCGACACATTATAATCACTCAAAGTCCATAACTGACATTACTGCTCACTCTTGGTGTTTGACATTCTGTGAGTTGGCACAAATGTATAATGGCATGCATTCCTCATTATGCGTACATTCACTGCCCTAAAAATCCTCTGTGCTCTGCCTATTCATCTTCCTTGCACTCCACACCCTTTAGAACCACTGATATTTTTATTGTCTCCATAGTTTTGTTCTTTTCAGAATGTCATTTGCCTGGAAACATACTGTATATAGCTTTTCAGATTGGCTTATTTTACTTACTAGTATGCATTTGAAGTTCCTCCATACTTTGCATAGTTGGATAGTTTGTTTCTTTTTAGCACAGAATGGTATTCCATTATCCAGATGTACCTTAGTTTATTTATCCATTCACCTCCTGAAGCACATGTTGGTTTCTTCTGAGCTTGGGCAATTATGAATATAGCAGCTTAAACATCTATGTGCAGGTTTTGTGCAGGATTTAAACTCTCAGTGAAAGCACTTTTTTAATACCAAATACTATGGGCTCCTGAATTGATGACAAGGAATTATTCTTCATCTTTTACATTTGTGGACATAGAGAGCCCTTTGAGCTAATATCTGACTTTCAACAACACTTACCCTTATACATGGAAGGTCTAAAACATAGAAATAAACAGAATAACTCCTGTCCTTAGGGCTCCATATGTCTTTAGGTTGGTGGAAACAGCAACTTGGATCTCTGTCAAATAAGAGCAATAATGATGAAAACGATTTCCATTTCTAGGGGGTTTTCTACAGAGCCAAAGTACATACACCATGCCTGCCCAGATACATGGGCGCACATACACATAGCTTCTCAGAACAACGGGATAGCATGAACAGCACAGAAAGGTCTCACTACACCATATCTTCCCAGAGAGTATTCTATCTTTTGTTCCTCCTGCTGGTCTGTGGGAGTGACCAGTCTGAGGAAACTGAGGGTTGGTATGTATTGGGCATATGTATTAAGCAGGAAATACATGCATGTATTAAGCAGGAAAACTCTCATCAAGCTATTTACCTCGCCTTGGTGTTTTTCCAGTGTGTGGTGTAGGAGGACATAAAGTTTAAAAGAGTTTACAAATTTAATATTAGAATCTAACCCCTTCTCACCACCTCCCCTCCTAAATTCTTTCTTGATAGACTTCCAGGGGGTCTTTCTTCTCAGCCTTGTGCTGCTTCAGTCATTTCCGCCCAACAAACAGAATCTTTAAAATGTACATCAGAATCTGCCATTCTTCTTGTCCAAATCTTCCACTGGTTTCTTATTTCAACTAGCGGAAAATCTTGAGTCCTTGCAAGACCTGACATCTTCAATCCACTTCTCCAACTCTAGTCTGGTCATTTCTTGACTTTCCAAGCATGTTCCCACGTCAGATTTTCGAACTTGTACTTGCTGTTCTTTCTCCAAAATACACTTTCCCCAGATGACAAGTGGCATGCTCCCTCACTCCCTTCATGTCTCTGCATGAAGGTCACAGTATCAGAGAGAATTTGTTGACCAACTCTACAAAATGTCACCTCCCAATCCCTCTCTATTCTCCTTATCTTAAAGTTATTTTTCTTTTCTTTAAAAAAAATTGTTTTATGTTTATTATTTTTGAGAGCTAGAGAAACAGACAGAGCACAAGCAGGGGAAGGGCAGAGAGAGACAGACAAATAATTCAGAGCAGGCTCCAGGCTCTGAGCTATCAGCACAGAGCCCAACGCAGGGCTTGAACTCGTGAACTGCGAGATCATGACCTGAGCTGAAGTCAGACGCTGAACCAACGGAGCCATCCAGGAGCCCCAAAAAGTTATTTTTCTTTCTAGCCCTTCTCACCACCTAACACGCACATTTACTATTTTGTTGATGGACTCTCTTTTCTTACCCCTTACTGGAATATAAGCTATGTAGGAACAGAGTTCTTCTACCTGTTTTATTCACCGCTATTGCCCTAGTGTCCTGAAAAGTTCCTGGCAGAGTCGGTACTTAATAAATATCTTGAATAATGAATATTATGAAAATCTTAGTTCTTTAATTGCCTCTGTTCTGTGTCCAAACAACTTGAAGTCTGACTCTTCTCTCAGAGTCCTCAGATTTCTGCCTCCATGAGTTTCCTCATCTGTAAAATGCAGGTAATTTTACAGTACTCCTCTCCCAGAGTTTTCAGATAAATAAATGAGATAATATGTATGAAGGCATGATGGGGGGACAAAACAGGCAGAGCTCAGACTAAAGGACACCTGGAATATTACCTCATGCTCCTCTAGATTTTTCTTTCTCTAGAACCTGCTTAAGTTTGTCATTGTTGTTGTTTAGAAAAGTGTTTAGAAATGTTGTTGTTAGAAAATGTGGACATTTCCCAAAATAACTTAGACATGAAAATACTTCATAAAACTATTTTGTAGAATATAGGAAAATGGATATAGAGATGTTCGACCATCTTGTGACATGACTGGGAAGAGAAGACTTTGATTTTGATATTCCTTGTCCATGTGTGCTCAGTGGAAGCGGACACAAAAGACACTGGGTGGGGGGTGGGAATGCAGAGATGGTAATCTGGAACTGGCCTAGGGTTTTCACCTTTCCACTGGGAATATTCCTCCAATTTATCCCAGGTACCCTTTTCTGGGTCACTTCTTTTTATATAATACTTAATATAGCATCCAATGATCAATAAAAGAACAAGTCATGAACATAAAAAAAGAGCCTTTATGATACAACTTGATGTTCATGATAATTTTCCAGATTTTAAAAATACAGCAAAATAAATCTGTTACCAGTACCATAATATTAATCCATTACCCACTTTTAAGATGACCTTAGTAACTTGCGCTGTGTGATGAATCTATACATTTATACCTATTCAAGTCTGATAGCATCTCTACTCCGTACTGACTCTATCATGCAAATGAGGCGGTGGCCACTTGACGTCCTTTTAGGAAAAACCACTAGTATACACTGAGCTATGTAGTATTAACTTTATATACTTGATCCTTATAACAGCAGCCTTACAGCATCAGTGCTACCACTGTTCACCTTTTACAGATTTGGGAGGTGGTGCTGAGAGAGGGCTTATAACTGCCTCACAGTCACAAAGTTAATAGATGGTGAGTCCAGCCCCTGGTGTCTCAGCCCTTCTGCTACCTTGTCTCTCTAGGGTGAGTCAAGGTAAATTTGTTTTAAAAATATATTATAATACTCTAATCACGATGAAATTGTATCTCACTAAGTCATACTGATTCTTTAAACTTTCCCATCCTAGAGTCCAAGGAACCTAATGAGTCAATCTGCAAATGCCACCTAAGTTTAGGTTTTATGTCAATTACTTACAAGGACTGACAGGGATTGAGCCATTCTGTTGAGCCCTGTCTTATTTAAGCCACTGTATTTTGTTACAGCAGCCAACCTATGTCCTAACTACATACTGTTACATTTAGAATAAAACCCAAACACCTGATACTGGCTTATAACACCCTCCATGAGCTGCTCTTGCTTCTTTCAAGGATCTCTCTTCATACCACCCTTCTCCTGGCCCTCTACACCAGTCACATGGTCCTTCTTTTTGCTCCTTGGCCACAACTTTACTTGCTCTGAATTTAGGGCTTTGCACTGGCTTTCCCCTTGTTTGGGTTACTCTTTTCCCAACACTTCCTTGGCTGGATCTCTCTTGTCCTTTAGATCTTGGCTTAAAAAGTTTATCTCCTCGGGGCACCTGGGTGGCTCAGTTGATTGAGCATCCGACTTCGGCTCAGGTCATGATCTCACGGTTGGTGGGTTCGAGCCCCACATTGGGCTCTGTGCTGACAGCTAGCTCAGAACCTGGAGCCTGTTTCAGATTCTGTATCTCCCTCTCTCTCTGACCCTCCCCTGCTCATGCTGTCTCTCCCTCTCAGAAATAAATTAAAAAAAAAAAAAAAACAATAAAAAAAGGTTTACCTCCTCTAGGAGACCTGACTTGACCACCTAATCTAAAGTGGCCACACTTGCTATTAGTTCACATCACCTTATTTTATTTCTCTTCAAAACAGAGCACTTATGGCTCTCGGAAACCTGTTTGTTTATTTATTTATTGACTGTCTCTTCCATGTCTTATACCCATGAGAGAAGAAAGGAGCTGATGAACTTTTTCACTTCTGTGTCTCCTCCTAATAGAATAATGCACAAAGCACATGCTCAGTAAGTACTTTTTAAATGTATATATGAATGAGGGGTGCCTAGCTGGCTCAGTCGTTGAAGTATGTGACTCTTCATCTCAGGGTTGTGAGTTTGAGCCCCACGTTGGGTGTAGGGATTATTGTGAAAAATAAAATCTTTTAAAATAAGTAAATAAATTCAATTTTGTATCTCTTAACACAAGGTGGCAAATAATATGTTCTCAAAAATGTGTTTTGAATGAATGAACTTGTGTTGTGAATTCTGATATGGTGCAGTACATGATGGTCAGATCATGAGTCTAGTGTTAGAGACCGATAGATTTGTGTTCAAGTCCTATCTTAGCCACTTACTGCCTGTGTTAACTGAGACCATTTATTTAACTGCTGAAAGGTTCCATTTTTTCATCTATAAAATGTATTTTGTGCAGAGGCATAAAAGAGATAATGTATATAAATCACTGTTACCATGTGTGGCTTATCACAAATGGTAGCAGTTATCTAGGCCAAGGGTAGGGTGATTTTAGAAAAATTTTAAGGGGTGTCAAGAAACCCAAGAATCAAGATAAATAATCTTTTAATGAAATATTTTAAATTTAATTTTAACATAAAAATTTACAATGAACAAAGTATCAAAATCTTTCGTAAAGACAGGATCAGTATCACTGAATTTTCTTTTTGTCTCAGAATCCAATGTGGCTTTGGCAGGACACTAACAGTCATAGTTATTAAGCTGACAATAGCGTTTTTAACAATATCACCTCACAGCGTAATTCAATTTGTAGCAATTTATTGAAAACCCCTAGGTTCAGGGGCTATGGCCCTTGAAAATTGCGGCAATATCTAACCTAGTTGCTACTTCTGGAATACCCTGAAATAAGGTGTCATGGCCTCATCACTCACCTCTTCTCCCTGCCCAATACCACAACCTTAACTGTAAATTATTCTGAAGAAGGGAGAGGAACTAACTCATTCTGAACTTCCCTTAATATAATAAAATAAAAAGGTGCTACATCTCAATGTGTGTGCACTATGGTATTTCATTACATTTTTAAAAGTATGACATAAATTTTTATGAAACATGGATTCAGTATGTATTATATATTTTTTCTCATACTCCTACTACTATTCACTCTGCTGAAAGTAGGTGAAAAACAGAGAATGACTTTCTTTAACAGTTTATGATTTAAAAGTCCAAATCAAAAGACACTATGAAATGACTATTAGTGGTTTACCAAAGAATACTTAACCATCTAATTTCTCTTTCCCAGTGATGCAAAAAAAAAAAAACAAAACAGAGAAGGGGTTAAAACCTTATAGCATGTTGAATGATCTTTGCAACATAAGAAAGAGCAAGAATGACATTTTTTGAGTGTCACCTATGTGTTTAGCATAGAGCTAAATTCTTTCCATACACTATCTTGTTCAATCCCTTCAACAACTTAACAAAATGGTGACCTTTTAAGTATTGTTTATTTATTTGAGGGGGGGAGAGAAAGAAAGAGAAAAAAAGAGAGAGAATGGGTGGGAGAGGGAAGAGAGAGAGAGAGAGGGAAACACAGAATCTGAAGAAGTCTCCAGGTTCTGAGCTGTCAACCCAGAGCCTGCTGACATGGGGCTCAAACTCACCAACCACAAGATCATGACCTGAGCTGAAGTCAGACGCTTGACCGATTGAGCCACGAGGCACCCACAATGGGGGCCATTTTTATCCCTATTTCACAAATGGAGAAGCTAAAACTCAAAGGTTAAGTAACTTACCCAAAGTAACTGAGTGAATAAGTGATAGAGTATGGATTTGAACCCAGACTTCCAGAACCCAAACTGAAGGCATTTCAAACTGTGAAATGAAGTTGTTTTACGATATGATTGCTAACATTGACTCCACTCTCAGGAGTAGCTGCTATGGTAGCTTCTTCCTCTGTTCTCACCCCATGTGCCTTTCTCTGAAGTGGCATGTAGCTGTTAGTGGACACTGCTAGGTATCATAACGCTCAAGAGACTGTCCCTACATCCATTCCTAAGTTATGAATTCATAAGAACTGAAATAAAACTTAGATAGTACCCAGAACTCTAATTCATAACTCAGTAAACATTGTCTGTGAGAAAGCTCTTCTAGAAACCAAGGGCTTAGGTGCTATTAATCATCCTGTGCTCTACAGTGGCCACGTGGCCATCTTTGCCCACCGTGGACTTCTGCAGGAAACTGAACAAGATATCTACATTGTGCAAAATCAAACAGATGGGCTTCTACTTTTTGACATAAAACACAAACGCAGAACTTTAAACTAGTAAAGGAACAACAAATATGCTTTAAATAGCCAAAGCAGATGTACTACATGTACATGTACTACAGGAAAATAAAAGCCAGAGAAACCTCACAACAATATTGAGGGTCATCCATTCTGGGTAGAAGAACTGACCAGGTTTAATCAGCAACCAGTGAAAATAAACCCAAGCCAGCAAGTACCTACAAGACAGTTCAAGTCCTTAGATCAATAGCCCCAACATCACTCATTAATCATTAATCTTTAGATGAATATAGGAAAATAATAAACACTAAAAGTCTGAGTAAGGCTACTTTCCTCCCATGTACATGGGTTCCAATGATCTCTTCTTTAGAAAAGACCCATTCCACCCTTATTTCTTTCTCATGAGTGTTAGAGCAAACAAGGCTAACAGTTCTTACCCCATGGCTTGCAGCGGCTCCAGCAAAGCTGCAGGTGCGGATGATTCATTGACTGGGCCACAACTGGCGCAGGAGCGCCTAAATCAAGGTTTTCCATGAAGCTTAATCTCCTTTGCCCCCTACTGCATGCTAGTGGCATTACACGTTGCATGAATCATTACAATTGATGAGCACTCTTAAAAAATGGTCGTAAAATACACATACATAATATCTACCATTTTAACCATTTTTAAAGTTTATTTAGTTGGAGAGAGAGGGAGAGGTAGAGAGCACAGGTTGGGGAGGAACAGAGAGAGAGGCAGAGAAAGAATCCCAAACAGGTTCTACACTGTCAGCACAGAGCCCAACATGGGGCTCAAACTCTCAAACTATAATGAGATCATGACCTGAGCCAAAATCAAGAGTCCGATGTCTAACCTACTGAGTCACCCAGGTGTCCCTAACCATTAAAAACATTTTTTAAATATTTATTTATTTGTGAGACAGAGACAGATCGTGAGTGGAGGAGGGACAGAGAGAGAGGGAGACAACAGAATCTCAAACAGGCTCCAGGTTCCAAGCCTTCAGCACAGAGCCCCACGCGGGGCTTGAACTCATAAACTATGAGATCGTGATCTGAGCTGAAGTGGGACACTTAACCGACAGCCACCCAGGCGCCCCCGCCCCTAACCATTTTTAAGTGTTGTACCACTAAGTACTTCACATGGTTGTGCAACCAACACACTGTCTATCTGTAGATCTTTTCATCTTTCCAATCTGAAGCTCTAGACTCATTAAACAATAACCATATTCCCACTCCTCTCCACCTGTGGGGTCAACTATTCCATTCTCTGTAGGAGTCTGACTACCCTAGGCACCTCATATGAGTGGAATCATGCAATGTTTGCCTTTTGTGACTGGCTTATTTGTGCATAATGTTTTAAGGTTCTTTCATATTGTAGTGTGTATCAGAATTTCCTTCTGCTCTCTTTCTCTCTCCTGATAACTGAGCCACCTCAAAACTCACTGGTAATGCTAGAAACATTCTATCCTCATCATCTCAGACCTCCTGCCTCAAATGTGGCCACAGTTGTGTGACTTCCTGGTGTAGATGTCACAGTCTTTAAAGGGTGATTGCCCATTTAAACTTATTGTTAACTCCTTATCTAACCTTTTAAGGTTAGATATTGTTTCCTGAGACTTCATTCTCTGGTTGGGGTGGCAGGGTGGAAATGATTCCAGCCTGTTCTCTGAAATCTCACGTCCCTTAATGAGAGTTCTTTGGGACCTAGTTACCCTTTATGGTCTTGTAATAACTAAAACAAACAACAACAAAAACAAACAAAAAGGTTTCTAATACCTTCCTTGAGAGCAGTGAGGTTCACACATATTGGACTAGGCTGGCCTCCATGATCAAAACCTGTTTGTCAAGGAAATCCTTCTCACTTCATGGCAGTGGTGGTAAGGCCTAGTGATGTACCCTCCATTATCATCCTGGTTCTTTTATGTATCTTTCTTTCTCTAACTGCTCTCACTCTGACTTCAAGATTAAAGTTTTATTAAAGAAAAAATTATTCCTAACTCTTATTAAACAATAGTAAGACAGGACTCTGTTCTTCCCTGTTGTAGTATATATCAGATACATATCAGTATATATCAGTATATATATGTCTTCTTTAAAGCTGACTAATGTTTTGTTGTGCATATATACCGTATTTGTTCATCCACTCATCCTTCACTGGATATTTGGGTTGTTTCACCTTTCAGCTATTATGAATAATGTTGCTATGAACATGGGTGTTCAAGTCCCTGCTTCTGATTCTTTTGGGTTTATACCTAGAAGTGGAATTGCTGGATCACATGGTAAACTGCCATATTGTTTCCCAAAGCATTTTAGAGCACTTTGATGGTGAGTTACAGCAAAGTTCAGATCAGGGAGCCTGGGTGGCTCGGTCAGTTAAGCGTCTAACTCTTGATTTTGGCTCAGGTCATGATCTCACGGTTGTGAAATCAAGCCCCTCATTGGACTCCATGCTGACAGTGTGGAGCCTGCTTGGAATTCTCCCTCTGTCTCTGCCCCTCCCCCACTCACGTGTACTCTCTCTCTCTCAAAATAAATAAACTTAAAAAAATTCTTGTATTAAGAATGTACCCTCTCCCCAATTTCACATATATATAAACCTATTATAATCATTTATCTTTTAATTGGTCATTCCTCCTGTGGACAATCCATTTGGAAGTTTTTATCTTCAATAATGATATCCAGCAGTGTCAGCCAAATATTTAGTATAAATAAAATCTCAAAAATAAGAAATTTTTAGGGGCGCCTGGGTGGCTTAGTCGGTTAAGTGTCCGACTTTCGCTTAGGTCATGATCTCGCGGTTCGTGGGTTCGAGCCCCGCGTCGGGCTCTGTGCTGACTGCCGGCTCAGAGCCTGGAGCCTGTTTCAATCTGTGACTCCCTCTCTCTCTGACCCTCCCCTGCTCATGCTGTCTCTGTCTCTCTCCTAGAAATAAATAAAACATTAAAAAAAAAATTTTTAAACAATAATAATGGTGGAGGATGCTTGGGTGGCTCAGTTGGTTAAGCATCTAACTTCTCTTGATTTTGGCTTAGGTCATGATCTCATGGTTGTATGATCAAGCCCTGCATCAGGCTCTTCTCTGGGCATGGAGCCTGCTTAAGATTCTCTCTCTCTCTCCCTCTGCCCATCTCCTCTACTTGTGCTCTCTCTCTAAAAAAATAAAATAAATAAAAATAAAAACAAAATAATAACATTGTTACATAAAAATGTAATGCATGTATTTCTGTACATACTTTAGGAGGAAACCATACAATAAACAAAAACAGCATAAAGAAAAACAGCAGTTGGGGCACCTGGGTGGCTCAGTTGGTTAAGCATCCAACTTTGGCTCAGGTCATGATCTCACGGTTCGAAGGTTCTAGCCCTGCATTGGGCTCTGTGCTGACAGTCGGCTCAGAGCCTGGAGACTGTTTCAGATTCTGTGTCTCCCTCTCTCTCTGACCCTCCTCTGCTCACGCGGTCTCTCTCTCTCAGAAATAAATACAACATTTTTAAAAAATTAAAAAAACAACAACAACAGAAAATGAACCATCTACTGCACACTAAACACGTGCAAACATGTCTATAAAAATAGGTACTGGAGGCACACCCATCAGGAGTGTGGGGTAGGGAATTCCTAGCTTGTTGGATGAACTAAGCTCTAAAATCTCTTTCATTTCAGAAATTCTCAAACCACTATGATTAGGACACTCACATCCTATGTTGTCCTCTCAAGGAAAAAAATTACTTGAATTTTTTTGGTGTCTAAAGAAATATTCTTCCTTTTTTAAGCGCCCAAAATATTTAAACACTTTGCCCTGCCAGTGAATGGAGGTTTTTTTAACTTATTTTTTAAAGTTTATTTATTTATTTTGAGAGAGGGGGAGGGACAGAGAGAGAGGAAGAGAGAGATATCCCACAGATATCCACACTGTGAGTGCAGAGCGTGATGTGGGGCTCTATCTCACTAACCATGAGATCATGACCTGAGCTGAAATCAAGAGTCAGACATTTAACTGACTGAGCCACGCAGGTGCCCCTTCTTTACTTATTTTTTAATTTACTTACCAAAAACAAGTGGAGCCCAGTTAAAGAGTAGTATTCTGGGGTCACCTAGGTGGCTCAGTCGGTTAAGCATCCAACTCTTTTTAAAAATTTTTGTTAATATTTTATTTATTTCTGAGAGCTAGAGACAGCGTGAGTAGGGGAAGGTCAGAGAGAGAGACACACACAGAATCTGAAACAGGCTCCAGGCTCTGAGCTAGCTGTCAGCATAGCTGACAGGCTTCAGGCTCTGAGCTCAAGCCCACGAACAGCGAGATTATGACCTGAGCCGAAGTTGGACACTTAACCGTCTGAGCCACGTAGGCGCCCCATAAAGCATCCAACTCTTAATCTCAGCTCAGGTCATGATCTCACACTTGGTGAGATCGAGCACCGCGCTGGGCTCTGTGCTGATAGCATGGAGCCTGCTTGGGATTCTTTCTCTCCCTGTCTCTTTGCCCCTCTTCTGCTTGCACTCTGTCTCTCTCAAAATAAATAAATCTTAAAGAGAGAGAGAGAGAGAGAGAGAGTAGTATTCTGTGTCATTATCATCATCATCACAATAGCTTGTTTTACTTTTCTAAAGTAAATACAGGAGTATTATAGGAAATATTACATACAGTGTGTTGGCTAATCCTCTCCAGAAACTCCATAAAACTTATCTATAATTCCCATTTGACATATGATGAAAATTGTTCAGAGAGAATAAGAAACTCGCCCAAGGTAATCATCCAGTAAGAAATGGAGTCACGGTTCAAAACTGAACCTGAGTCCAAAGGCCACAGTGTTTTCACTATTCCAGGTGCCCAAAAGTTTATGTACTACTCTCTCTGCCTTCATCTGGAATTTCTAAATATTTAAAACCTTATTTACAATTAGCAATAGTAAGCTCAGAACCATATTCACTGATAATTTGGGGGTGTAAATTTTTTTATTGCCTTCAAAAATTTTCCCCCTTTATCTGTCCCCTTTCTCCCCTCTTCTCTTACTCTGAGCTTTGGAGATACTGCCATCGTAACACCTCCACACACGCATACAAACACATACACTCTCTCTCTCATGTGATTTCCCCCTCTTATAGATATACTTCATATATGTTTCAATGAACAGAGAACCCTGTGTTATCTCAGGTGGTTGGAGGTTTATTTTAATGACACTCCAGAAGGAAGGAAGGCTACAAGTTCTCACAGAGAACTAGAAAAATGGCTGTCACAGTAGCACTGGTGGCTGGACCATCTTGTTGTATTCTCCAAAGTGGACAAGGGCTGTTCTCTACTCTAGTAATGAGTCAGCTTCTCTTTGACTCTTCCTCTTTCTTAATCTGCTTCTCTTTCTACTGCCAGCTTCTCTTTATTGCTGCCTTTGCTTCTATTTCTTGCTACAGCCTGTTCTCAGTGTTATAGTTTATGGGCAGAACATGCCTCATCCTGAGGATACTTCCCGAAGATAAGAAATCTGATTGGA